GCTCTTCATCACTCAGCTTGGGTGGTCTCCTCTCCCCTGCTGCCTGGATCGAGTGGCACAAGCAAGAAGCAGACCACACTTCGCATTGCATTCACAAATCATTCTTGTCCGCTAATTAATGGCTCCGGCTAATCGCCGGCGACCGGGTGATGCCAACGGCAGAGGCAACCAGGCCGGTCTAACGGAGCAAACAAAAAAAAAAAATGAAAAACAGACACCACATTCCAGCAGCTAGCAGACACAAGAGTTGAGTTGACACACCACGGATCAGAGCTTCCATCATCCATTTATTCATCCATCCTATTAACACCATCCGGAAACAAAAACAAAAACTCTACAGCCCCCAACCCCCTCCCTCCCCTCCTCAACAGAGGCCCTTTCACCTCTCAGAGCAGAGCATACTGTTTGGACTCTGAACCTATCTATCGACACAGAGAAACATACCACAGAACCAACCAATTTGGCTGCCGGCAATATATACACAAGAGCACCACCTGTTCGGCTGTCTCCTACCTCCTAAATTTCAGACAACTTCACCCTCCCTCCCTCCCCCCTGCATTCCCCGCAACGGCGATCGATCGCGGCCGTCCTCCAGCTCACGGCAAACTCAGCTGAGCAATTGCACTAGTACATCCTTCCTGCCGCGCCAACCGCTGCGATGCCATTGAACGGGGGAATGTAGTAGGCCGAGGGCCGCGCCTCGGCCTCGGGCGCCACCCTGGCGTCCCTGAAATGGTGCGACGGCCTGTAGTGCGCGCGGTCCTTCTCCACCTCATGTTGCCTGTCGGAGCAGTCCGGCCTCAGGTGGTGACCGGCAGCCGCTGCTGGAGCCCCCGCGGGGTCCCTCGCCATTCTTCGACCCATTTGTCGATCGGTGAAGGCCGCGTTCTCGGTTGGTGTCGCTGAGGCAATCACTCTGCCCGGTCGGGCTGCAACAGTGCCGAAGATGAAATGTGTTAGACTGGTGCTCTCTCTGAAGTTCAAATGAAGAGGTACCAGACAAAAGCAAACAGGACCAGTTACCTGCTGGAATCCTTTGAGGAGCTTGGGAGGCCGGACAATTTGTTGTAGGAACTGGGGTAGAGTGAACTGTTGTAGTCCTGCAAGCAGCCAATCAAGGGTTAATAGTGAAACTCAAACAAAAGTTCTGTATTCTAGGGCTCCACACTTCTAGATTAACTAATGCATTTTGGTAGTTTTAATCAGTTTCAACACAAGCTATGTATGGCGGCACAAATAATTGAGAACCAGATATAATTGATCACATTCAGAACAACTGTATTTAAAGTGTAAGTTACCTCGGGAGAGAAACATGCTTCCTCTCGGCTGCCCCGCCCTTTCCTCCATCTTCCTCTAAGTTAGCAAATTGCCTCCGGAAGTTGTCGACAGCACTGCATAACAGAAAATTCAAGAGCCATGATGAGTATTGCTACATAGATAGACAGAATAACAAAGAGAAAAGAGCTTAAAGATACTATGTCAAGGTAGAAACCTAGGATATAGAAAGTTCGTTTTCTCTGAGCCGTTGCTGTAATCCTTGAGAAGCTGAGGGTGGTACTCCAATATCTCCCTGAATATAAGTTCCTTGACGTCCTCTCTGGTAAACTTTCTCCGTTCAAACTCAAACTCCATTTTCGAAATCGGTTGGCATGATGGTTCTCTCTCCACTTTCGCGAGGCCATTGAAATAGGGATCAGCCAACGCCTGATTATGCATAGAACACTAGTTAGAATAACATACAGACGACCTTGAATATGTGATTCGTTTTAAGTAGTAAAACAAATGACAGCACAAAATACTAGAAAAATGAAAATCATCTTGTTTCACTAAGACACGCCTACCTCTTCAGCAGTGGGTCGGTCCTTTGGGTCAAATGCTAGAAGCTTTTGCAAGAGCTTGACTGCTGCAGGATCTGCTTTGGGGAACTTCTCTGAAAAAGGTACTGGCAGTTTCTTCCTCATGCTGCTAAGATACCTCCTTGCCTTCTCATTTCGAATCTGCGGTGATAAAAAATATTAGAGAATTGGACCTTATGCTTGAGTAGTTGATTGACGACATTTCTGCAAACAGTAAATCATACCCGAGAAATAATCTCAGGCGACGGTGAGCCTAAGAAATCAGTCATCATATCCAACTGCTGAACCACATTTTTACCAGGGAACAAAGGCTTTCCTGTCAAGATCTCCGCAAAAATGCAACCAATGCTCCATGTATCAATAGCCGGTGAATACTGCATTGAGGGAGTCAACTTAGTGTCATCAAGTTAATATAGAAACTGAAGAGGATAAACAAATGATGGCAAATGTAACACCACGTAATGTATATCAATTTGTACACAACTTTAGTGCTTGAACAAACACCTTGTTATAACTACGAGGCTGTACTCCTCTAAAACACAGTGATGTATCCATAGATTACAGAATAAGGATCAAAAGCTACTACTAATCACCTAGAATCTTAGGCTATACAACCCTATAGAATGAGGAAGTAGCGGAATGCCACAGACAGTACTAAAATGAACAAAAGCACAGGAAGAGGAAATTATTAATTACCTTGGTAAAGAAAGAACCACAGAGCTCCGGAGCTCTGTACCACCTAGTGGCAACATAGTCCTGCAAACCATGTTGGGGAAGACAGTGAGCTTTAAGTTTCAAGTAGGGCTCTTTTGTACAGAATGTAGCATTCTATCGAATCTGTCAAGCAGAATTGACAAAACCAGAGTATTGTGGATCAAATCTAGTAAACTGTAGAAGTAACATACCGTCCAGAAAACAGTTGTAGGGGTGTCATTGAATGCAACTCTTGCTAGTCCAAAATCACATATCTTGAGCTTGCAGTTTGCATTTGCCAATATGTTTTTTGGCTTCAAATCACGATGATAGACATTAGCTGCAGCCACAAAGATTAGTCATCAGCACAGAGCAAGCAGGCAATACATAACAAGAGATGATAAACATTTAATTTTGAGCAATGCAGATGAAAATAGGATATCATCATCATTGGTTAAATGAAGTGAAATTGGCTACTGTAACTCTAAATAAACATTGAAGCACCACAGTGATGATAC